GGTTTTCCATCCTTAGGAACGCAGGTAGTCCTTGACCTAGGGCCACAATTGAGCCCCAAATTTCTGTTGCTAAGCAAGACCGAGAGGTTTGCATCATTTTACAACCTTTCTTGCCACAGTTGTTAAGTAAATCACAACAGCTGTTCAGTTTTTTTAAGGGAATAGGACTTCTCCATTGATTCTGCTCGTCAGAAGGTCAACAGATCAACAAAAGGTGAGCACATGATCCTGGGACACTGCAACTGTCATACATACGAGCCAGTTTGCCAAGCTTCCAAATTTTGATCATGTGACTATGGGTAAAGTATGCAAAACTTTATGTAGTGTTTGCAGAAGTGTCGTCAGAACAAACCAAGGAATATCAGAACCCTTCACAATAATATCTAGAGTAAAACAGGGATGTGTATTCTCACCTACATTGACAGCATAAGCAAAAAAGCCAAACCCAAGAATGGAAATCAACAAACTACTCTTTACAGATGATTAGGCATTGATAGCAAGTACAGCTAAGGAACTACACCAACATCTGATGGCCATGAGCCAAGAACGCCAACATTCTTCCCCTAAAGGCCTGGTTCCGATAATTCTGAAGGATGTCTAACTCTCACTATGAAAGTTGGCAATGAATCAGAAGCTAAAATGTTCTGGTCTTATTGTAGATTTGCGTATATCATCTGGTTCTGATCAGGTGAAAAGGACAGTCCTTTAAAGGTTGAATGAGATAGAATGTGCGATTGAAATTAGGACCCTATCCTGCAGCAACAGAGCTCTGACAGCAAAGGCTACATGGTGACCAGCAAGCTGTTCATACAGGTTAACCATCCTTAGGTTAAGGAGGGAGCTTTTAAGAGCTAAGTACCAAGAGCTTTTAAGAGCTAGGTACTAGGTACCATCAGCTTCCCCAGAGTAGATTCATCAAGACCCTACAATAGGATACACCTGGCCTTGCAGCTCTGGATATAATCCAGAAACCATTCACCACGTACTGCTTTATATACAATGGACAGATGCTTGTCGTTGGACTACAACTTGGTTACCAGGAACATAGGAGCCAAATTTTGTGTAGATACACAGCTCCCCAGGCCCAAATATGAACATCTCTAAATTTGGACTTCAACCCTTTTTCTATTTTATTCATTTCATCTTTTGATTGTATTGATTCCATTTTATTTTGACATGCTAGTCTTTGAACACAGTAATAAAAATTGTTTTGACTTGTTTACAATTTGAAGAGGCTCAAGACAGAAATTAGTGTATCGGCTTCCATAATGGAGGGATATGTTCATTTTAAATGTCCTGAATAAGAAATAAGATTATAATTCAGAATTCTGAAGTGAGCTGTTTTGAAACATTTTGTTTGAAAGCATTTGGAAAATATAATCAGTCGAAAATGCTATGACCCTGCCAAAAAATACAGGAAGATAGGATTTCGTGTTTTGTCACAGACTACGGATCTTGAATAACAACAAATCAAAGCTTTCACTGATTGGAATCCAGAGTTGATTTATACCCCTGGGAGCTTTGCCATTCATTTAAATCTCATCTTAGACATGTGGTCACTTCTGCAATGAGGATATAATAGTACATGGAAAGATGACTAAAATATTTATGGGAAGTTTCAACACTTTCATAAATACTGAAGTGCACAGTTTAAATTAGAAATCTTCTGTTATCTTTCAAACCAAGAAAGCACCCAGTTCACTGGAGGTATTAGATAGGATACAGCACGTAGTAATTACTCTGATTGAACTTTGACCCCTTGCTGCCCCCTTCCACATATTGTTTAATTTATGTGGTTACCACAACGGTAACTGGAACTGGCAGCATAAAATTATTATAAAACCTCAACCAGGTATCCTTGTTTTTCTGGTTGAAGAAAAAAAAAGGGAACCATTGTTTCTTTGGTTAATTGGTTAATTTTAAATTGCTAGAATTAGGTCCCCTGCAAAACGTCCCCTTGATCTGTGCCAGGGTTCAACCCTAGTAACCTCCAAAGTACACCAATTTGGCACTAGACAACACAAATACTTCTTTGTGCAAGTCTTCCAAGCGGCTAAGCTCTTTTCTTCTAGGTTTTTGCTTTTGAATTACTTTATCTTTTTTAAAAGACTATTTTCATTTCACTTAATGCTTTGTTTCACTTAATTTGTTAATGAAAATAATATTGCAGTGTGAGCATGAAAGTGTTGTGACATTATACACATACGAAAGAGGCATAAAGAGGCTTAAAAGAGCCCATGAATGTGTGGTGGTAATGTAAAAGATACCTGCGTAGCAATGCAGTGCAATCTCCATCACCGGATGATCCTTTCCCATCTAATTCCTAATTCCCATGAAATTAGGAATGTATCCAGAGCTTTCTTACTCGGTTACTTTCTTACTTTCTCAATCAGCTCCTCGGTGGACTCTTTCAAGTATTTTCTACTTTCGATCATTCCACGTTTGCTGGGGTTGAGAGGTTTTTTATTTTTTAAAAAAGTTATTATTCTTTTCAGAAACAATCCACCTGGAATGAATAAAGGGCGTATTGCACTTAATCTGGGTGAGCAAGATTATTCTTTCATAAACAGTGGAGGCAAAGAATCGTTTAGAGTTTTGTAATGTCAGAATTGTGGCTCCTAACAGGCCGCTGTCCAATTTAAATTTGCTTTCCTTTTCCCTACTGGCTGCATCCAACACAAGACCCAGGGTATGAGTTCGAATGAAACGGGGAGACAACTGTCCTCGATAGGACTTTTCTATGCCACTATTCGTTCCCATTTATTCTGCACATCTAGGGTCCTTTATTTTTTGCTGTTATTCTTCTGCTTCCTTTGTTGTTATATTTCTGTGGTTTCCTCTTCCCTACACAAAGATATACCTGAGACTGTCTTCCACACTTGTGTACATACAAGCAATTTGAACAGCTTCTCACCTTTTTTCCGTTTAGCTCAGCAGCCCCTCCCCAGCTATGGCCTGGCAGGGGATGAGGAGGATTGTAATCAGGTTACCTGGAGGGCACCACAGTGGGGAAGGCTGCTTTAGATCACAACTAAATGATCTAAGCAATTTTATTGTGGCATAGGTTGGGTTTTAACGCCTCCTTCCCTGAGGCCAGTACCCAATCTATGTTCTTCCCTTTACAAAATGAGTAGATGGAAAGGGAAGACAGTTATGTTTTTTTTCCTACTCTTAAAAAAATGTATCGATTTTATCTACTCTCATTAAAATACAATTATAGAATAATTGGATGCTATGACACAGGAATGAATCATGAATTTTTAATTAAGAAAAAAAAATAAGGGAAGGATTAGAAAATGAAGCCATGAGAGATTATCTCGGACTGCAAGAAAGCAAAGGGGTTGGAGTTTTCTTAATTTCTAACTTGGGGCGCCATTTTCTTTCACGAAGTTACCCTATTTATAAATTTGAATTTATAAAGAAAGGATATTCAGTGCCTTCCTATGCTTCTGTTTCTTATTCCACAAGAGGAAAGAAGACAGAAGCTTAGGAGAAGAAGAAAAAAAACAAACCCAGCTTTTGGGCTTGGTTCAAATGGCTGGTTCAGCCAAGGAAATAAAGTCTGTATTCAATTAACGCTTTGCTCTCGTTGGTTTGCTGCCTAAACACTTGCATTCGTAGAATTGCTCTTCTTCATCTTCCATTAGGAATAATTCCATAATATTCCCAAATGGATCTCCTCCACGAATGAAACTTTTTATCATTCCACACCTCTTTCCCTCTTGAATCCTTACCTCATAAAGAACACCGAGAAGAGGCAAAATCTAAATCTTAACTTTTGTTGTTGTTGTTGCTGTTGTAAAGCAAAACACGGGTTCCACCGTATCTCAGGGACCATCTGTTCTCTCAATTTCTTTACTGCTTTTAATACTTTTCTTCCCATTCCTCATTCTTGGGATGATCTGTTGGACAGTACGCAAATACCATCTCTCTTTCCCTCCTTTCTAATACTGATCGCGGCTTCCCTGGATTTCAATGGAAAACTGTGGCAGGAGACCTGGGTAAAAAGACTCCGTCAGTTTTTCTTAAAAGAAATTAAATCGGGGTAGGGTGGGGGACCCACAATTTTTCACCTCTGCCCTCCTTTTGCATAAACGGATGCAATTTCTAAAGCTCTTAGCCCCGTGGTCCAACACGCTGGCGGTGTTTTCCTTCCTTCCTTTTTAGCTGTGGACAATCTGCGCAAGAAGTGATAGGAACAAAAAACAAACAAGGAGGCTGCAGTTTTTGAAAAGGAGGCTTTACAGCAGAACTAGATGTCTCAAAGCTGTCATTCGCACATCAGCACAGGCGTTTCTGTTATAGACAAACCAAGCCCAAAGTGAATCCAAGAGACACCACAAGCACCACAAGCACCAAAGTCAACCCCTCACATTGGACCAGTCCATCCTCCCACCCCACCCCCCACCCCCAAACACACACATTCAAATCTGGAAGGAAAGTATCTTAAAAGAGAACAAAAGTTTTGTTTGTTTGTTTTAACAATGAAGACCAATTTGTCCCTCTCTCCTCTCCCCACCCACCCTTAAAACAAAGCATCAAAGCTGGAAATGTTTAGCTGGTGGCATTTACAGTGTTATATACAGAACACCAAACTGACATCCAAGAGCTTCCCCATCTCTGTCCCTTTTCCACCTGACCCACGCACCACCACCCCGGTTCCCACCGCGGGACCACCGCTGTCCCCCATTGCAGGTCGAGGCCGGAGCTCTTCCCCACCTGTCCGGAGATGGAGGGAAATACTGTACAACCCTCTCTCCCACGCCCAGTCCAAAGTCACGGCAGTTGGCTTCGGATAAGAGTCCTGCTACTATCATGCCCGGTCCCGTCGGGGTGCGGGTGGCGGGAAGGGTCGCTTGTCCCTCGCCAGCCAGGAATTGCTTCCACGGCCGGCATCACCTCCCGGGAAAAAGGCGGCATCAGCATCAGCAGCAACAACAACGGGCAGCCAAAGCTCCCTCCCGCGTCCCGTCGAAGCCAAGCGGGCCGGGTGGGCGGCGCCCGGGTCAGTAGGGCCCCACGGCCACCGCCTCCACCTCCTTGGACGACCTCCGTTCCTTCACCAGGAAGTTGATCATGCCTTCGGACTTGATGAGGAGGTTGCAGCCGAGGAAGAAAATGCCGAAGACGACGGTGAGCGACAGGACGCACATGACGGCGATCTGCACCACCCGCATGATGTAGAGGCTCCTCTCGTCCGGCGCGGTCACCACGAAGCCGTCGTCGGTCACCACGGACTTGGGCGTGAAGGCCTGGAGCGCTCGCTCCAGAGAGTCAGTGCCGTTGGCCAGCAGCAGCCCCAGCACCTCCGTCTGGTTCCCCAGCGTGGAGTTCATGGCCCCGGCGGCAGGGAGACCGGGACTCCGGGCCCCGGCGACGGAGAGAGAGCGCGGCGCAGCTTCCTCGGAGATGGGCCCCACGCCCAGCGAACCTCATGCGGCACCTGCAGCGGTGGCCCCAACTAGGGAGGACCAGCAACCTGTGGCGCTCGACGGGCCGACGGCTGGGAATGCAGACGGGCGCGCTCCTTTTCACCGCCCTCCCCCGGATCCGTCTGGGGCTCCTCCGGTCGAGGATCCCCTTTGTCCGCCAGAAGAGAGGGGCTGCTGCCGGGAAGGGAGCCCGGGCCGAGTCCAGAAGCTGCCTTTCCCCACTCACCGCCCACCCTACTCTCCCCTGCCTCGAAGCGCTGAGCCGTCAAGGAAAAACGTGAAAGGGGAGCGAGTAAAAGCGCAGCGCCGACCGGCAGCCAGAAGGAGAAGAAACCGCCAGCCCCGCGCCTCCGAGCGGCTCTTTTGATACAACACGAGACGGGCGGGTACAAAGAGTCCCGAACTCCCTCCCCGCCTCCCCGGCAGCGTGGCCTGGAAAAGAACCGGCAGCCACACGCACATAAACATACGCGCGCCGCTTCGCCCCGCCTCGCCATCGGGGGCGCCGGGAGGGGCAGGAGGAGGAGAGAGAGAGAGAGAGAAACTGAGACTATCAAGCCTCGAGGATCAAAGACTGAGTTTCCTTTTAGTTGTTCGTTATCTCGGATTTTGTTTTTCTTTGAAAGGGAAGCCAAATGAAAAGATCTCGATATACCCAACGGACCCTGATTTCAACTGTATCAACAGTATAAGGCAGAGGGCTCCCCCCAAAAGTTGAATAGGGCAGCTTTAGGGATAACACATCAGTTATTCGAAATGAGGTCGCGTTAGCTTTCGGGTTTTGTCTACTGTTGTTTAAGTGCTCCGAGTTGCATCGAGTTCTGTAACGTTCAGAATGACTGTTTCTCTTCTGACCAATGGTAAGATAGATTGGACTAACACGATCCCTTTTATAAAGTCTCTTTCTCTCTCCCCGTCTCCCTCTCCCTCTCTCTGTGTGTATTCTATTAAGAAACAGCTTCCCGCTTGATTTGTAAAATCTCTCTCTCCCTCTCTCAGGTGCAACATTTTGGCAGAAAATAGGTCCATTGTCTGTCGATTTTTCAAATTTGGGTGCAGCAGAAAACAGTCTTAACATGGTTTAGACATGTCAATAAATCAAAATTTGACCTGAGGAATCAGAAGCACATGCTTCTAAAGAAAAAAAGAAAGACCCATACGAAGCAACAGATGATAAAAATAAGGAAAATAAAGTGTAAAAATCTAAGTTAGCTATTAAATTAACGGAAGAAGGATATTCAGTTAGATAATGAAAGGTAAAGCTATATTGGCAGGACCGGATATGTTTTGGAACCATTTTTCATCCAGTAAGGTTGATAAAATGTAAGATTTATTTATTATTTATTTATTAAATTTACTTGCTGCGCATCTCACCTCATGGCAACTTTATGTGAAGATTTATTTCACATAATAGCATGCAAAGTTGTCTCTGAACATGATTCCCCAAGGAAGCTATAATAAATAACCTGTATAAAAAATATCATTAAGCTGAAAAGAATATTCCTTATGGCCAAATTGCACTTGGCCAAATAAAACTATTCTGTTCTGTTTCTATTTCTGTTTCTGTTTTGTTTCTGTTCTATTCTATTCTGTTCTGTTCTATTCTATTCTATTCCATTCCATTCCTATTCTATGCTGTCCTGTCCTGTTCTGTCCTATCCTATCCTATCCTATCCTATCCTATCCTATCCTATCCTATCCTATCTTATTCCTATTCCTTTCTGTCCTGTCCTGTCCTATCCTATCCTATCCTATCCTATTCCTATTTCTATTCTTATTCTGTTCTGTCCTGTCCTATCCTATCCTGTCCTATCCTATCCTATCCTATTCCTATTCTTATTCTATTCTGTCCTATCCTATCCTATCCTATCCTAACCTATCCTATCCTATTCTATTCCTATTTCTGTTCTGTCCTGTCCTGTCCTGTCCTATTCCTGTCCTATTCCTCTTCTATTCTATTCCTATCCTATCTATCCTAATAAATAACTGGTTCCTCAGCTTAGGCAAAGCTTGAATACTGGTGATGGAATATGGATGCCATCAGACCATTCCTTAGCATTGCTAAGGAATTAATTTGCCATTGCTGTCACCTGTTTGTTTGTTTTTATATTTTTACTCCCTTCTTTAGCCCACAACCTTTTTATACCCAGAAGGTCCCTATGCAACTCCCGATTAACTGACGAGACTCAAAAAAAATTAAAAAAGCCAGCTTCTGCCATCTGCTGAGAAAACAAAAGCATTGCACAATGGTTATTCTTTTAATTTCTTCTAATTAGCAAACACAGTGAGTTACTTCTATTAAGATGCATACATTTTCCCCCAAAGCACACACAAAAGGTCACGTATTCTTACAGTGAAATATGAATGGCCATTAATTCAATTTTTTTATCAGCTACATCAGGCTGGCTGAGGAATTCTGGGAGTTGAAGTTTCCAGATTTGGAGACCCCCTGACCTAGATGCCTTGTGAGAAAGTATGCTCAAATAAACTGGGGTGGGATTGTAATGATGAATTCATTAAAAAAAAAAGGAAAATCCAGAAAGTTGTTTTTTTTTTAAAGCGTACAGGTAGTCCTTGACTTATAACCACAATTGAGCCCAACATTTCTGTTGCTGAGCAAGACATTCGTTAAGTGAGTTTTGCCCCATTTTACAATCTTTCTGGTCACATTGTTAAGTTAATAACATGGTTGTTAAGTAAATGTGGTTTCCCCATTGATTTTGCTGGACAAAAGGTCTCAAAAACTAACCCAGGGCACTGCAATCATCGCATATATGAGCCAGCAGGCAAGCGGCCGAATTTGGATCCTGTGCCCATGGGGAGGCTGCAACAGTTGTAAGTGTGAAAAACAGTCGCACGTCACTTTTTTCAGTGCTGTTGTAACTTTGAACTATCGTAAATCGAGAGCTACCCGTACTGTGGTGTGACCAAAGATAAGCATTGGCTTAAGATGTATAAAAAATGGAAGGTTCACATATTTTAAGAGAGAGGTACAAATTGGAAAAAAAACAACAACCATCCCAAGAATAGTCAATGACTGTTAAAAGCCAGCATAGTAGCGCAGGTCATAAAGTAGCAGATTACAGGATGTTCTTTTTTGAGCCATCTGTGTAATTTAGAGAGTTGTGCAAGTGGAAAAGCAAGGAGAAAATTACCCACACAGGTTGTAACTCGATCTAAACATTTTCTCCCATTCATTTAGTTTGTTTGGTTGTGAAGTCAGGTGCCAGATGGTTCCATGTACCTCAACACCTGCTCTACGCATCTGCAACCAGGTAGCTGTAGTGAGAGGAGTGCGTAAAAATTTCCAATCAAGAAGCCTGAAGAATTAAAGCAGGGAGCTTCGAACTTGACAGCTTTAAGACTTATGGACTTCAGCTCCCAGAATTCTTCTTCCAGTCGTGTTATCTCAGGAATTCTGCAAGTTGAAGTCCACAAGTCTTAAACTTGCCAAGTTTGAAGACCCTGGAATTTTTAAAGGCTAGAAATAGAATTAAATAGGGAGAGGACCAGGAGAATAACTAATTCCTGGATCCAATTCATCCAAAAGAAAAAAAGGACAAGGAGAAGGAAATGTCAGCAAAATGTCATCTGTCTTATTTCAGTGTTTTCTACTGAACATAGACACACACACACACACACACACACTGTGTACATACATATGTTAATGTTACATTAATGTATATATACATTAATGTATCAATGCTATTACATTAATACAGTAACGCTACGTACATACAATAGGTAATAATGCAAAGTATAGCTAGCATATAAGGATATTTCATAAATACAGTAGAGGCAGTCCTCAACTTACAACAGTTCATTTAGTGACTGTTCAGTGGTACTGGAAAAAGTCACTTATGTCCGTTTTTCACAATTACGACTGTTGCAGCATGGTCAGGTGATTAAAATTCAGATACTTCACAACTGACTCATATTTTATGATGGTTGCTGTGTCCCTGGGTCATTTGATCACCTTTTGTGACCTTCTGACAAGCAAAGCCAATGGGGAAGCCAGATTCACTTAACAACCGTGTCCCTAACTTAAGCATTGCAGTGATTGACTTAACAATTGTGGCAAGCAAGGTCATAAACATTTCTCATTTAGCAACATAAATTTTGGGCTCAATTGTGGTCATAAATCAAGGGCTACCTGTATTAGGCAATATGGTGCTGTCAGCAAAAGTTTTATCAAAGAATACTGACATAACGTCATAACATAGCCAGAGGTGGTATTCAGCAGGTTCTGACCAGTTCTGGAGAACCGGTAGCGGAAATTTTGAGTAGTTTGGAGAACCGGCAAATACCACCTCGGACTGGCTCCGCCCCCATCTATTCTCTGCCTCCCAAGTCCCTGCTGATTGGCTGGGTCTTCTTTTGTTGCCCTGCACAGCAGAACAGAGCTGGAAAGCAGGTTAGTGGGGTGGGGAGGGAATGGAGATTTTGCAGTAACCTTCCCCCAGGAGTGGAGAAGGAATGGGAATTTTATAGTATCCTTCCCCTGCCACGCCCACCAAGCCTCGCCCACCAAGCCACACCACACCCACTAAGCCATGCCCACAGAACCGGTAGTAAAAAAATTTGAATCCCACCACTGAACATAGCTATATATTAAGTTAAGCTCAATTTCTGGTGATTTCATGAACAGGGAAATATAGTATTCTTGGCATCAATACCAAAAAGGTTAGCTACTATTCAAAGTGGTTGTGCATATTAGAAATCCTAGAATCTATTTCATTAGCTAAACAAACTAATGGGTTAACTTTTTACTTCTTTGGCAGTTTCTCTCTGTTAAAGCAATATATCAGGATGAAATTGGAGCAGCTTTTGAATTTGACAGAATGAGACCTTTAAGATGGGCAAACTTTAACTCAGCAGCATGCTGGCTGGGGAATTCTGGGAAATTGAACTTCACATATCTTAAGGTTGCCAGATTTGGAAAAAAAAACACATTGTAGAGAATAACTATAGAATCTTGAAAGGCTGTCAGAGTTCCCTTCTGCC